AGATTAGTTGATCATCAACTTTCTGAGCTTATGATTTTAAGACAGTGATCTAAACATCATAAGAGCAGATCATCTTCAGATCATACAATTTCTAATTCATACTCTCTAGTTTGTCATGCTGTTTTCAATCAACAAAATCAGTCTCAAGCTTCTGCTGATAATCTGATGGATCTCTCTCCTGGTGATGTGATCTCAAGCACTCATCACACCAAATTGATAAATCAGACAGAGGTTAATTAAAGAAGAGAGCAAGACCTATGCCTGAGATGCAGAGTCAGAGATCATATGATTAAGAGCTGTTTGTTTAAACCTCTCAGATGCTCTGCCACCTTCATGATAGCTAAGATGATCTCTGAGCTGGTACTGAATGATAATGATGTGAATATAAGTGAGGATTCAGGAAAAAGAGTAGCTTCAATCAAAAGACACTGAAAGAAGTGAAATAAGAAGCTTATAAAGAAGCAATGAAGAAGATTTAAATCTAAGATGATATTTAAACACTTCACTGTCAATGCTCTAGTAGATAATGCCTTTTTGACTAGAGCAATGATAAACAGTGAATGTAATATCTATGGTCTTATTTCTCAATTCTACATTAACAAGCATAAGCTCCTGTGCATTGAAATTCCCTCTGTTAAAATGATCAGCTTTGAAGACTCTATGAGACTCTCTATGAGCATAGTGACTAGCATTCAAATTGATATAGATGGTCACATAACTGAACAGGCCTTTCTCTATATGGTGAATAGATTATATAGTCATGATATATATCTAGGTGACCTCTGGCTGGCCCAGCAAAAGGTGATTGTGATCCCTCATCAAAGAATTGTAAGATTTGAAGAGAGTGACATAGAGATAGAGTCTAGTTCAAATGCAAAAGCTGATGTGATTCTCATCTCTGCCATAAGCTTCTCTAGGCTTGCAAGCACTTGAGAGAAGTGAAACATCAAGATCTTTACTGTTAGTTTGACCAACATTCAAAAGACTCTAGAAGTGAAATCAAAGATTGACCCTAGAGAAAAGCTGTCTAAACATTATCATGAGTTTTTGAATATATTTGATAAGAAATTCACTGACACTCTACCCTCACTTCATGGCTCAGATAGAGATCATGGAATTGAACTGATTAAAAAGGCTGATGATAGTATAGAACAACCTCCTTGAGACTTACTATATAATATGTCTTGAGAGGAACTACTGACTTTGTGAAAGACTCTTACAGATTATCTAGATAAGGGATTTATTACAGTAATCAACTCCTCTGCAGCCGCCTCTGTACTATTCATGAAGAAGTCTGGAGGTGGGCTAAGATTCTATGTAGACTGTCAAGCTCTTAACAAAATCATCTGAAAGAATTGATATTCTCTATCATTAATCAGTGAGACTTTATAGCAAATTGAACAGATTAAATGATTCACTAAGCTGAACATTATTGCAGCTTTTCATAAGATTCAAATCACAGAAGGTGATGAGTGGATGATGGTCTTTAGAATCAGATACAGGCTATTTAAGTGGCTAATTACACTCTTTCATTTGGTCAATGCTTCAAGCACATTTCAAAAATATATCAAGTAAGCATTACATAGATATCTGGATGACTTCTTCTCAGTCTATTTAGATAACATCTTGGTATTTTCCTCAAGAAGCTTACAGGAGCATTGTGAGCATGTACAAAAGATGCTTATATGTTTATGAGAAGCAGGCCTGCAGGCAGATATCAGAAAGAGTGAGTTTGAGATGAACAGAATAAAATATCTTGAATTCATCATAGAAGCAGAAAAGGATATATAAATGAATCTGAAGAAGATTAAAGCTGTTTTGAAATGAGCAACATCTACTACTCTTAAAGATGTATGAGGATTTTTAGGCTTTGTCAATTTCTATAGACAATTTATCAGAGATTTCTCAAAGATTGTGATCTCACTGACAATTCTTACATGAAAGAATATTTCTTTTTTGTGAATGAGCAAGGCTGAAAAAGCTTTTAAGTGTCTAAAATCAATGTTTATCTCTGCTCTGATTCTGCTTCAATTTAACTCTGATCATGAGACTATATTGAAAACAGACTTCTCAGATTATGCCTCAGAAGAAGTGCTACTATAATATGATGAGCAGAGCATTCTACATCCATGTGCCTTCTTCTCTTGCAAGTATTCACCTGTGGAATGCAACTATAAGATTCATGATAAGGAGTTATTAGCAATAATTGAGTGTTTAAAGAAATGAGACACTGAGCTACAAAGTATAAAGGAATTCAAAATTCTCACAGATCATAAGAATCTAGAATACTTCATGACTACATGCAGACTAAATGAAAGACAGCTATGTTGAATGAATATTCTCTATTGATTCAACTTCAGAATTGATTATCAGTCAGAGAAGTTGATTGCTGGACCAGACACTCTATCATGAAGAGAGCAGAACATGCTACAGAGTGCTGATGATGAGAAAATTAAGCAGAAACAAGCTCAACTACTTAAGTTTAATGTACTGACACCTGGAATGGAACAAATAGTGGCTGCTGTCAGTGTGAAATCTGAGATGTCTCTTCAAACTCAGTGAAATGAGGCTCATAAAAATGACAAGATTCTGCAGTGTCTGAATCAGACTATTTGTGAGAAAAAATTCAGATTTCTTTCTGAACTTAGCATTAAGATCTCTATCTCTGATTGCTCTTTAAATGAGAACAGAGAACTTCTTTTTCAAGATCATAAGTAAGTACCAGACTTCAAACCTCTTCAAATCAGATTAGTGCATGAGGCTCATGACTCATCTCTTACCAGCCATCCCAGGTGAGAGCAAATGGCAGGAGTTCTAAGACATGAGTTCTACTGGCCAGGCTATGCTGCTGATGTGAGAAGAATAATCAGAAACTGTCATCTTTGCAGATCTAATACTGTATGAAGAGATTGATGTCAGAGATTGCTTAAGCCTCTTCTCATTTCTGAACTCATGTAACAGAAGCTTTTCATGAACTTTATCATGAACTTACTAAGCTCTAAAGAATACACAAACATTATGATTATAATAGACAGACTGATCAAGAAGATTATATTAAAAGCAGTTAAAAAAACTGATGCAGAGATGATGACTAGAGTATTTCTTCACAACATCATCTCTCAACATGACATCTCTAAAATGATAGTGTCAGATTAAGGATCAGCTTTCACAAGCATGTTTTGAACTTGAGAGTATGAGAAATTAGACATTAAGAGATGACTCTTCACAATCTATCACTCAGAGACTGATAGAGCTACAGAGTGAATGAATCAGACTCTGAAAATCTACCTACACAAGTACATTAGCTTTCAACAGAATGACTGATGTGAATAACTCCCTCTGGCAGAGCTGATCATCAATAATAGAGATGCTGCCTCAACAGATGTGAGCTCATTTTTTTTAACACATCTTTTTCACATCTTCTCTATTTATATAGCTGATGCACTCTCTGTTGAAACATCACATAATCTCATTAAGTTTGCAAATAATTATTTGAGAAAGATCTGTGAAGTGTTGAAGTGAGCTTAAGTAAAAATGACAGATGCTCAGCAATCTCAAAAGAACTACATAAATAGACAAAGAGACTTAGCTTCAAGCTTTCAATCTGAAGATAAGGTCTGATTGAGCTTAGAGAACATGAGAACTAATCATCTGTGCAAGAAGCTGAATGTGAAATACAATCAATATACTATGCTAAAAAAGATAGAATCTTATGCTTATCAACTGAATGTCTCACTCAGCATTCACAATATCTTTAATGTAAAGCTTCTACATGCTACAGTGACAGATTTCCTGCCTAGTCAGAGGCAAACTGACTGACAGCCACTCACTATAGAAACTCTGAAAGGACCTGAGTTTGAGATTGAGGAAATTTGAGATGAACAAATCTATCAGAGAGAAAAGCAATACCTCATTAAATGAATAGATTGAGCTGAGTCTACATGAAATGATATGAGTCTTCTACAATAAGCAAAGACTTTGAACACTTGAGAGACCTCTCAGCAGGCAAAATTAGATGTAAAGAGAGCTTTAAATAGTCATAAAGATCTGCAATAAATAGGAAGAAGAGGGGTATTATAAGAGATTTAACCTCTAGATTCACTCTGACTGACTGACTCAGTCTAGTCATCATTTGCATATGTGCATATGATCATACTATACAAGCTCACTTAAGCTTGTGTTCTCATCTCATTCTTTTCTTCTCTTTCTCAAGCAATTTGTTCTTGTTATATAGAAGGACTAGCCTCTAATTCTTAGAGCTTAACTCTTTACAAGAATCAAACATGATTTATTCTATCTATTTGATTTCTTGTATGCATCAAAGCACCACAGTGTAGTGTCTATGAAATTATTGAGCATACTGCCCATATATGCTCTAAATGTATAAAAAATAATTTATAATGTAATTTACTAGTTTTTCTTTATAGTTGAGGCTTTGAAGACATTTTTATTGTATAGAAAGTAAGAGGTGATTCACTCACTTATATGATTCACTCATTTATTGATTATATTAAGCCAGTCATTCAGTACAGAATTATCTGATGCTTGATTGAATATTACATTTCATTCTCATTCACTTCAAATCTCTCACTTCGTCAATATAGGATGTCAACATGAAGTATATGCTAGGAAATTTTACTTCGAAAAGTCAGTTAGATTCCAACTGTTAAAAAGTAATAAAGAAGTATGCTCAGGGTAAAACTAGAACTTTAACCTCAATTACTGTTTGTTCCACTTGGTCTACTATACATTGATTGTGTTTCTCCTCCTCTACCCAAATAATTTTTTTTATAAAAGAAAAGAAAAAAGAAAAAAGAAAAAAGAAAAACAAATATGAAAAATAAATAAAAAATAAAGAAAGCAAAGCAAAGAAAGGAAAAGAAGAAAAAGGGAAAAACAAAATAAGGAATACCCAATCTAAGCCTCGGGAATCTAGGTATGGTATAAGAACTGTACGTACAAACAACTCTAAGTATACAATCGCTATCAAAACATGTAAATTACGGATGGCGAGTGCTAAGCCTTGTACCCTTCATCAGCTGGTTCTCGAGTTGTAGCAAGGGGATGTTTTCGCTTCCTTCCATAATCAACCCCAGACTGTTAGGGGTAGGGTTCCTCCAAGCCCCTATCTTTTGGGGCAATTTGCTATCTCTAATAGTAAAACCAGATGTAGTGACAGGCGAAGAGGTAATACGTCTCTTTGATGGCCGGGGCATAGGGTCCTTGCATGTCACATCCCCTGTTGTTTCTTCTGGGTTTGATGTGACCGACGACGGGAAATCGTTAGGTGGCACGACACCAGCGCTAGAAGTTGGTTTCACGGCGACGTTTATATCGACCTCCCTAAGCCCCGCAGACGAGGAAAATGTTGGCTTGGCGTTCACATTGGGAGGATTGTTGAACCCTACCTCGTCGCCATCATGATATACCATAGCCTTGGTAGGAGACGTAATCGGTGAGCAGATACGTAGAGAAGGCGAACTTGGAGAGGCTTCAACGACCGTTGCGATATCTCGAGGTTCCTTGACTCCTCTCAATCTGGCGATGAGGACGTCATGTGGTTCGGTTCGCGGGAGAGTGGATGGGTAATCATACTGCGATTTCTGGGGGGTCTCTCCAGTGCTGGTGTATTCCATAAGTGATTTCGCTCGAACGTTTGATTGTAAGTCCGCTAGAGGCTTCCTGACATCCCGAGTGAGATTGTCAATAGGCTCCTGTATAGCTTTGTTGTCGTTGAGAACATCATCACGGAAGGCTTTAGCCTGGGTACCAAAGGCATCTACACTGCCCTGTATGCCTGCATAGGAATGGCGAATACATTTACCAAGGCTCTCCAAGGTATTAACCCGCGAGTCGTGGTGAGAATCGTTTTGCAATTTTGCTCTCAAAACAAAAGCATCCAAGGCTTGCATTTGCGTAACAATCCCTTCCACCTGAGTGTTGACAATCTTCTCCGTCTCTTGATATACAGCTCTTGCTGTCTCCTGGATTTTTTTATTTCGGGAATCAAAAGCCTAGCAGTGGTCAGCATCATAAAAGGACTCATGATTTTATTATACCATCTTACATTCAAGTCTCTGTCGATGGCCCGTTTAACGGCTGCCTCAGATTCAAAGGCTTGGGAGATAATTTCGTCCTCTTGTAGCTCCAAGTAATCCATGCTCTCACCGAACTTAATATCTGCCTCTTTGAAGGAGGCATAAGAGGCTTCGATATGTGAGCGAAAATTATTCATTTTGGTATCGAGCCGTACCGCTTGAGTTTCACCTGACTTATCCAAGAGGGTTTTGATATCGGATAACAGAGCTGCGCGATCCATTTTTACAGCAGAGCGCTCTTCATCCAGAGTGGCCTGCAGTTTTAATGCGGCTTCTTCGCTTGCTTTGGCCGCTCGGTTGTTCGCTTCATGGACTTGCTTTCGAAGATTCAGGATATCGTCTTTTTGAGAACGGAGACCACAGACAATTGTGTCAATGACGGATTTAAACTCCTCGCCCAGAGTTATATACGATGAATGTAACTGTGCTCGTTAGCAGACATTAAAATTGGAATTAAACTACACGACTAACCTTTGTATGGAATTGGCCCAATTCATTTATTACTTCACCCGATATGCGTTCCGCGGCGGTGGAGAGTCCGCTCAGACCCTCGACAACTTTCTGTTTTACATCTTCACGCAGCACCTTGATCTCCTCGAGCACTTCATTCATTTCGTCCCGGCACTCAGTCGTGTGCTCTTTAGTTTCCATTTCGATGTTACCAAATGATACTTCCGCATCCGAAATACGCGAACGACAGGTCTCGACTCGGTCTAACTCCTTCGTGACGAAGCTTTCCATCCTTACTGAAAAATCTTGGAGCAGTTTGGATTGTTGGCGTTGGAATGCTGCTATTCTATCATCCACGATTTTCGAAAAATCCAACACTTCTAATGTAGAAGACAGCCACAATTCCCGGTTCAGAGAGTGAAGATCCGAGCGGCGTCGAAGCTTGGAATGTAATCCGTTCACATCGGAGACTGACTTGCCCAATGTTGATATCAGACAAGTGCCAATTTCGTGCAGCTCTTCTTCTGTATCTTCATGAGCCCTTCGCAGCAAGGATTCCTCCTCCAAGCTTCTTTTGGTGTGTCTGAGCACAAGGTCTGTTTTCTCCAAGAGATCCTCTGTTCGTTCTAGTGAAAGTTTTGTTGACTCGTTATCCTTCTTCACTTCATTAAAGTTGCTAGTCAAGGAAAAGAGCTCTTGAAGTTTATTTTTCAGGTTTGCTTCCATGGTCTCGATCTTCGCTCTTTGCTCTTCAGAGAGTATTCGACGCGACTCGCTTTCGATTGTCATTTCCTCATATGCACTAGGAGAAAGGTAAACCCCATTGCGTTGTCGTGTCGCGATTAGCTCAGTCTTTAGTTTCTCAATCTCCGTTGTAAATTCTCGAAGCATGGTTTTCTTGGAGATAGTGGAGTTGATCTGGGGCTTGTTACGAATATTCTTTGCGCGGAAAGCATAATCTAACGTGGATACAGTTTCCTCGAGGTTGCTTCTTGCAGGGGAGACTGTTGCGATAATGCACGTTTTTGTACGACCACCCAGGGAATCTTGTAATAACCTGGTGAGTTTGGATTCTCTAGTGGGTGTTAGAAACTAGCTATAATCGCAAGTTAGAAGGAAAACAAACCTGTATGGAATATGAGGGCTTCCGTCTACGAGGGCATTGATCACCCTTCCAAGGGTGAGCAAGCTTTTGTTGATTAAACCCGCCTCAGCTGCTCTCTTGTTTTCAGCGCCGCTCCTCTGAATGTTCTCACTTCCAGCCAAGTCGACTAGATTTAGTTTGCCGCTGCTGATGTATTCGACGCCCTCTTCTGTCTTCCTTTTCACGAATGCTGTAATGGTAAATACCGTGTGGCTCCGGGAACTGAGATCATTACATTTTGTAGCCGCTACTTGGCGTTTGTAGCTGCCTTCTTGAAGCAACTTGATGCCTTCAGAAGCTGACTGGATGTAAGTCTCACCCAGGCCTTGCACCAGCGTGCTGTGATTCCCCTTTTTTGCGGCGTCATCATATATTTTGAGCTTTGTACCATCCTCTGAGGAGAGAAGGTCTCGTAGCTCTTCGTTGTACAGCTCAATAAATGAGCATTTCACAGAGTTTTCCATGTCTTCCAGCTTCTTAAATAGAGAATAGAGCACGCGCGGAATAATTCCAGCAGCGTCCGACAGTAGACCAAGAGAATCCTCCATATCACCAGACATCGTATAGGTTTTACCTGTTCCAGTTTGGCCATAAGCAAATATTGTACAGTTAAATCCGGAAAGCATCTGTAATATCGCTGTCAGCTGCTAATCTTGCCGTAAATATATTCTTTGCCTGAGGAGATTGGAAAAAAATAAAAAATAAAAAAATAAAAATAAAAAAATAAAAGGGCAAAATCCACCTCACCTCGTTTAGAATCGGAGACACGACATCCTCGTAAATTACCACTTGATCTGCAGCTGGCGAAAACACCTTATCAAAATGATATTCTTTGTTTCCCATTGCATTTGGGCCCATGGACAATTCGAGATTTGTCCCCTTAACACCCTTCGTTGACACGACCACCCCACTGTTCTCCTTTACTTCTCGATCATTTCTACCGCGACACCGCACAACAACATGGATATTTGTCCTCTCGACCGGTTGAGGCTCAAACTCCCTTTCCTTTCGCTTCAGCCCACAAGATGGTTGCACACTGGGCGATCGCAACACCCGGGAGGTATTGGCATTTGTCGGCTTTAGAGGGGCGGTAGGGGACTCTGATCGCTCCGTGAGAACGGAGGCTCTGGTGGTTTGGCGCGGGCGTACCATGCACCTCCGCAAGCCTTGAGGGGCCTGGGAGCGTGTTGCTCCAGCCATGAGAAACAGATAGGAGTACCTGTTATTTCAGGAGAATTGGCGGCTGCAGCGTGGGTCATGAAGTATGTGGAGGTCTCTGCAGGGTTCAACAGTCAATAACCCAATACCCAATATCCAATACCAGTTGCTAGACGGGATCCGTTTGTATACAAATCCCAACGGAGGGTCAGACTGATATACTTTATATATATTTAACAAATCGTGTGATGGTGAGTATTATTGAGTAAATGCCGGCGTATACCCAGCCTGCCGTGTCCATCGTTCCTCGCTTTTGTGGCGGTTTGTTTGGGGCCACCCAAAAGGGAAAAACGTAAACAACCTTAACAAGGCCTTGGCAGCGCTTAGGCCGCGTGTCTGGACGTAAGTAATCCACCATCAAACGGCGTATATCACCAAGAGGCGGATTATCTCCAAAAATCTTTAAATATTCAATGTATTCAACAACCGATACGCTTAAATATCTTCTTTTTCTTCTTCTTCTTCTTCTTCTTCTTCTTCTTCTTTAGTTGTTCTGATAAGATAGATTAATCAGTCATTATAAATACTATTGTCATGACTTAGTCTAGAGACATGATGATATAAAAAATAAAAGCTTAATTCATCTATCTACTAGGTAGTTGTAATGAGAATACTAAACTAAGAATTAAAGTGTAGAAACGAGATAAGTAGCTGAATATATATATATGATTGAGAATTGAAGCAGATTCATTTAAGCAATCAAATATGATTGAAAATCTGAATAAATTAACCTTCAGATCAAAGCAAATCAATAAAAGCAATCAAATATAATTGAAGTTAGAACAAATTAATTTTATTTCATATTATCAGCAATTGCGCTCTAACAACTACATCTTATATCTGCTATATTTTAACTTTTATTATAATTATGAGCTCAGTATAATATTATGTATAATATATTTTAATTATAGTTATTTTTTTTCTTTTTTCATTCAATTTAATATGAACTGATATTGATATTTAAATCTTTATATTGATTTATTGATTTACTGAAAAAATTAATTAATATTTAAATCTTTATACTGTTTTTACAGATTTTATCTCTTTGATATATAATAGTTTTAACTATATTATCAAGACTTCATCAATTTAAACTGAAGATTTAAGATTTTAACATCAATATGACAACTGAATAAGATATCAAATAAACTTTTAAGTCTCTGAAAGCATGTAATGATTGAACAGTTTAATATTGAGAAATATCATCAGTAATATTTATTAATAATATGACTTACTATATTGATATTAATAGAACTAAAGATATGAAATTCTCAATAGTCTCAAAAAAACTATTTGAGTATAAAAATGAAATCTATACTATTTTAACACACTGTTTATATATTAGATCTGAAGTATTATAATAGATACTATGAGATATAAAAGTGATAATTAATAATTATTGAGAAGATAAGCAATATAATCTTTAAAATAATAAATTTAAAACTACTCAAAATTATTAAATTTCTTTATGATTGACTAGTATCATTAATTAAAAGTAATTACTATAATGTATAAGAGTACTATAAGATACTTTGAAAGCAACTCAGTAATTGTAGTTTAAATGTTTGACTTGATGAATAAATGAGATTTTAATATAATATAAAAAAATAGATATATTATATCAATATCAGATTTATTAAAATTTTCTAATAATCAATATAAAAATTAATACTTACTTAATAAGTGCATGAATAATATATCTAAATTATATAAAAATATAAAATACAAACAATATAAAGAGTTTATTAATAATATTTTAAGAAGATTACTAATAAAGTGATATTAGGAAAAGAGATTATTTATTTTTATTTACTATTCTCAATAGCAAAAGATCAGATTCATAGCTTTTAAATAATAATATATGAAAAAAATATTCTTATAATTAAGATGATTATTTAATTATATACTATTGATATATAAATCTATCACAACAGTTTGTAAACTTTTAATTATATAAAAATTATAAAGTCAAATTGAAGAAAGTACTTAAAAATGATAATATTTGAAAAAGATGAAGAATGCTTTATCATTAGTAAAAAATAATATCAAAAAAGACAGAATCTCATTAATTGATTCTACTATAATATCAACTTTTCTAACTTCAAATCAAATAAATTCTTCAGTTTTTTATAATTTAGCAACTGCTATAAAAGTGTTTTAACAGTTCATAACAATGACTATTTTAAACTCAATGTCATAGGAATCATTTTATCTTCTTTAAGATAGTTAAATCTATAACACTAATAATGAAGAATTTATTGATAATAATTGCTTATACTTCATAAATCTGAAAGAATATAATGATCAATTTTATACTAATACTCATATTAGATATGCTTATGACTGAGATACTGTATTAAGTAGAAAAATAAATATTTATAATATTAAATTTAATATTTATCTTCATAAAATAGTTTATATTTCTAAATTTTATATTAATATTATAAAGTGATCATATTTTTAAACTATGAAAATATATTTTTATCTTTCAATAATGATATTATAACTAACTAATAATGAAACTTATATCAAATTTTTTTTATAACAATAATCTTCTAGTAATAGAATACAACTTACTATTTGATATTTTTATTATATCTATCTAGTCAGATTCTTTAACTTCAATTGCTGCTGTTTACTGTATAGCTATGTTTAAGATATTAATAGTAACTAAAAAATATTAATATAACTGTTTAATATACTGTTTTTAAACTATAATTCTTTCTCTTTTGAATGCTGCTACTGATGTAGTACTATTAGATGACTCAGTTAAATGTGAATAATATACTGATTTAACAAGTATAAAAAGCTAATTATCAAAGAAAATACTATTATCATATGAAACTTATAAGTTAGTAAAAACTTAAATCAATATTCCCACTAACTGCATTGTTGATCTGAGTAATTTTTTAAATATCCGCATTGTGATATCATATAGAGATTTAAAATTATCTAAAAAAGTGAGAAATAATTAATTCATTTTATATATAACTTTCTATAATTTTATATTGCAATTATAACTTGTTAAAAATTTGATTTATAATATTTATTATTTAATATTATTACTTGAATTGACTATTATTTAATTATAAAATTAAGATATTAAAAGTAAATAATAAAATTAATATAAATATTAGAATTAGAGTTAAATTAATTAATAAAGAAGAAATTGAAATTGAGTTCTCATCTAAGTATATCAAGAAGTAGAATAAGACTGCAAAATATGCAAATGCTTTAATAATAAAAAAACTTACTGTCTATAAATATAAAACTATTTATTTGAATTTTCAATATTTGAAAAATTTATGACTATTATGTTCAAGAAAATAAATAACTTATAGTTTTCTATATATACTATAAATTTTTTGAATAAATAAATAACTTTTTTGAATCACTCAATACCTCTAGCATATTTCAAAAGTATATCAACTAAGCATTGTAAAATTATTTAAATGAGTTTGTATTTATATACATAAATATATAAAAACACTTAATATAGCTGAACTAAATATTAAAAAAATTATAAGAAACACTCTAACTAATATTATAAAAGAGTAGAAATATAGATATTATAAGTACTTTAAAAGAAAAATAATAATAATAAATATAAATATAAATACAAAATTAAATAATAGTTAATTACTGAATTTCTAGAAAAAATTTGAAAATTTAAAATATTTATATATATAAATAAGTAGTAATAGATTTTATATCTAATCTTTTATGAAATAAATAATATAGTACTGATTTTATTCTTTAGTAAATAGCAATAGATTTTATCTCAAATCTTTTATAAAATAAAGAATTGATAATGTAGTACTTTTTTATAAAATAAGAGATTAGTGATATAAAATATTGATTCTATATACTGATTCTAAAGCACTGATTCTGAATTACTAATTCTTAAATGCTGATTTTTGAGTATTAATTCTTTATACAGTGCTTCAGTAAGTTATGTGAAAGCTAAAAGCTAGTATAATAGATTTTGCCTGCTGAGAGGCCTCTCAAGTGTTCAAGACCTTCACTTCTTGTAGGAGACTTATGTCATTTCATGTAGGCTCAGCCCAATCTACTCATTTAACAAGATATTGCTTTTTCCTCTGATAGGTTCATTCACCTCAAATTTTCTCAATCTCAAACTCAGATCCTTCTGAAGTCTCTATAGCAGATGACTGCCAGTCAGTTTGCCTCTGACTAGGCAGGGAATCTGTCACTGCAGCATGTAGAAGCTTTACATTAAAGATATTGTGAATGCTGAGTAAGATGTTTAGTCAGTAAGCATGAAATTCTATCTTTTCTAGCATGATATATTGATTGTATTTTATGTCCAGCTTCTTGCACAGATGATTAGTTCTCATGTTCTTCAAGCTCAACCAGATCTTATCTTCAGATTGAAAGCTTGAAGCTGAGTCTCTTCATCTATTTGTATATTTCTCTTGAGATTGCTAAGTATCTGTCATTTTTACTTGAGCTCACTTCAACACTTCACAGACCTTCCTCATGTAATCATCTGCAAACTCAATGAGATTATGTAGTATTTCAACAGAGGGTGCATCAGCTATATCAATGAAGGAGACATGGAAAAGATGTGTTAAAAAGAACAGACTCACATCTGTTGAGACAGCATCTCTATTATTGATGACCAGCTCTGCTAGAGAAAGTCATTTACACCAGTCATTCTGTTGAAAGCTAACATACTTGTGTAGGTAGATTTTCAGAATCTGATTCATTCACTCTGTAGCTCTATTAGTCTCTGAGTGATAGACTGTGAAGAGTCATCTCTTAATGTCTAATTTCTCACACATCTGAGTTCCAAACATGCTTGTGAAAGCTGATCCTCAATCTGACACTATCATCTTAGAGATGCCATGTTGAGAGATGATGTTGTGAAGAAACACTCTAGTCACTGTCTTCACATCAGTTTTCTTAACTGCTTTTAATATAATCTTCTTGGTCAGTCTGTCTGTTATAATCATGATGTT